CTCGAAATACTGTTTTAGCAGTTGTTCTATTGCAGAAAGTTTACTTGCTCCCCTGCCATGCTCACACCAACAGTGCATAACAATCTATAGGATTTCTCGAATTCTCTTATCCTTGCACCGAAGACAATGTAAAAACTTTTTTAATACTAAAGGTTTGTGGAGAACTTCTCTACAAAACTGATATATGTAAAAGTAAAATAAATATGATTCCAAACAGTCGCATACATTTTATTCACTTGAATGAATGAGCGATGGTAATGTTCGGATGGCTTCAACCAGAAGCTAGGTTTAGATCTTATCGAAAAAAGCTTTAAGATCGAACGTTGCATGGTCTCTCGCTCAGAATTTGACGCTCATTCTACGTGATATGGTATGACGAAGTTCGCTTTTTATTTAACGAAATCTGAACCTAGCTTCTGGTTGAAGCCATCCGAAATATAAAACGAACAAAATGTTTTCATTAGGTGATTGAATAATTTTGACAGCCACTGTATATTTTCTGCGGTTTACACGTAAAACTTTGTAAAAATTACGTCGAATTACGCGTGAGTGTATTTTAGGATAGTTTACGCGTGCACTCAGTTAAAACATTACACGTGTTTACACGTAAACTTTTTCTCAGGACTGTTTATTTATGAAACTTCGTTAAAAAAATTGACATGTAAACACATGTATTGTTTTAACGGAGTTCACATGTAAATCTCCGTGAGTTTTGTAAAAAGGACCATAGTTTACGTGTAACAGTTCGTAAACAAAACTTTGACACGGGAACACCTGTGAAATTTTCGTAAAAATTATTTTTTTTTGCCCATGGGTAGATTACTAGATTTTTAAATTAAAATCCTAATAGAATATTTGAGAAAACACATTCTTGCACTATCAGTTTTGTTTTTGAAACAATGCTTTTTTCTATCGGTCAATAAAATTAATAAATCTATTTCATCGAAAACTCTCCTAATATCGGCAAATACAATAAGTATCACCAATCAATCAATCAACCAATATGAACAATTTGAATCCATTGAAATATATACGTAAGACTGCTTTTCTTTGTCATCGCGTAAAAACAAGTTTACGATGTAACGAAAAGTAGTTCGCAGTAGTGAAAATGGAGTATAAAGATTCTGACGGCCACTCAGTCGTATGGGCAAAAATGCCGAAAGCTTTCTGGATAGATCAAAACCACAAAGCCGACTTTTCCCTTGCTCCTCACTCTCTGACAAGAGAAAAAATGATCAATACGGAAGACCACACTCAGGTTGAGTTAACAAAATAATAGGGGTGCACATCTTCGAATATTATCAAAAGACGTTTTGCATAATTTAGAGTCACTACATAGTACGATTATGTATCCGCCTCGAACATGTGTCATCTCAATAAAAATTGTATACATACACCGACACGTCTACGAAAAGCTTTTGTCAGTTGACTGTAATTCTGCCAAATATAAGACGCATTTATTTTTATATCGGTAGATAGAGCATTCATTTCTTTATCGAACTGTATATTTTGTGTATGATTTATTCCTCAGCTTGGCCGAGAATTTACTAAAATTCTAACAGCCTGAAATAGGCCCATATTTCTTTACACGCAGATAGTCCAAAGTGTCCTCTGCAAACTGCGAACAAACCAAACCCTTAATTTCTTCCGGTTCAGCCGTGGCATCCGACTTCCTGAGAGTCCCACAATCAATATTTCTTTAGCTGCGGCAATTTCAAAAAAAAATCCGACCATAGTTCATTGCCAACGCCCAATCTCCTGACAACATTTGTTTATTGAAACACTTGCAAAAACCGAGTACAAAATTCTATCCGATGAAAAACCCGATCTTTGCCGATATCTGACTAAGAGTAAAAATTTCATAACCTAGCCAAAATCGGCATATCAGCATGTTCGCCATTATACCTGCTCTATATTCAGAAAAGAGTAATGCTTAGGCCAATAACCCTCTCCGAAATAGGAATCAGGCACCGTTGATGATTTTAGTTAAACATCCGTTTTTGTTAGTTTCAACAAACATCTTTCGTAGCGAAAAAATAATAATCATGTTATAGATTATTATAGAGCATGGTCTCGTGGCTAAACGGCTAAGGCATCCGCCTACGAAGCGGGATATTCCAGGTTCGATCCCTGGCGAGATCGTTTACTTTTTTCCTTTGTGATTGGAGTATGATTGCATAACTCATTTCGCTATTTAATTGAATTCATTATTTATCGAGAAAAGAGTTGGAATGAGGAGACTGACTGTCTTCGGAATGTGAATTTAGTCTGTCTTGGTTCCTGTAAGGCATTCGATAAAGTTTTGCAGTATGGTTTATCATATACATGACGTGCTCCAGACAGTGGGAATTTCCAGTTTGTTATGCGGACATACGAGTTTTTTCCTTAGAAACGCTTCTTTTTGGGTGATGTATGATATAATGTGTGTCATGAAGGTGTCGGCAATGATAGACCTAGCGATGAGCACATCGAAACACAACGCATTTGCTCAAAAAGCTGTCCGTCAAATAACTGTTTTCTCATGAATTTCAGTTAGTGGAACACATACTGCAAACCATTTATCAGTGTCTCTCCTTCTGCTACCGTTAAATACTCCATGTAATAATTTAAAATTCGATTTAACTTCGCGTTTAGAAAACTGGTTTTCTGTAAATATGTATCAGATTCTTGTACATTCCTTTGATAATTGTTCCGTGAGTACAACAAGTTTTTGTCTATTAATCGAAATCAATTGCCATTGTCAAGTTTTCATTTTTTTTTCTTTCTTTATCACCCGTATCTGGTTTCATACGGATTAAACCAGCAAATAAACATAACATGCACAGAACGCAAAATAACAAAAAGTTTTTGATAATAAAGAACAAATAGGCGTACTTATTATAAATATGGACAAGTACAAAAAGTTGGTTTATTTTCATAGCAATTAATTGATAAGAGAGGTGTAATATGACTGTTGTAGCTGTTAAAGTGTATTAAAATAAACATGTGCTTGGTTTGAAATTTTGCCAGATCACAGACATAAAAAATATAGAAAATCTTTCTGGACTAGTATAATGTTTCGTGGAGGAATATTTGTTCTAGAAGTGTATAAAACATTTTTCTGTGAGAATGTGACACATCAGAGAACTTCTTGTTCAAATATTGATAAAAAATGTTTACTTAATGTTTATCAAATTCAGTCGACTAGGTCCTATAAAGAAAACAAAAAAATATGTCAAAATAAAACGTGTGCCTGTTTAATAGTAACGAGAATTTCTTACCATGATAGCATAAACAAGATCGTTATCACACCGTTTTAACGTTTTGAGGACTTCTGCTCTTGTTGTTTCTCTTCTTTTTTGTACTTCTGACATAACCAGTTGAATATCGCTCTCCTCTAAATCGTCCAAATCTTCCTAGAGTATAGACAGAGATTCCCTGCACATAAAAGAAGACTGTCGTAGTGACCATTGCGTTACTAATACTTCTTTCTCGTTGTCATCGTCGTCGTTCGATGAGGAGAATAATTTCGAAGATGTGTTTTTAATCACATTATTTGTTTCTTCTGACAAATTCATATCCAAAATACAATTATTCGAAGGAGTTCGAGCGATATTTATTAATTTTTTAAAAATTGATAATAGTTGATCTGGACTTATTCTGCTATTAAATAGAGTTGATTCATTTCTAAACTGTCTCAATTGTAAATCAATGTTAAAAATTGTTTGTTTCAGTTGTTCAATTTTAATTACATGTAAACTTGTTGACGACACAATAGATGTTTTAGACATTTTGTATATCTGAAACTTAAATAAAATGTAAAAAAGCGTTTTTTATTGATACAAAATTCTAAATAGGCTAATGCTACATGCTGTTTAATCATGACCTTTTCCGGACTTTTCTATGATTATTGATAAGGAGTTAAATCAACATACATTTTATTGTTTCTCTTTCCTTTCTTCCTCACTTGCTTCCTTCATCTTAAAATATTATAAGGACAAAACACAAGTTATGTCATATACATTTACCAAAAAGCAATTGCGTCATTCTACAATTCTTATGTATGGAAAAAACCAACGTAAGAACAAAAAACAGAAGAAAAAAAAGGATACGAAAAAATTGTTTTTTATCTTACTTGTTATTCAAATCGATAATGCAAAATAATGTACTCGACGTTTGCGATTATGTCATATATTTTCTCTGCAAACTAAAATTCTGATGGGTGAATACTTTTATTTTATTAAGCAAATTGAAGAACATGTGTAACTCATTTCTATCTCGTGGTAGTAGAAATGTTCTTCAGACAATTGATGTAAAATGTTTCTGCCTGTAAATTATACTACAGTATTGCAACATCTCAACTTCTTCCATCATTGTCAACATTATAAGACGCCCGTAATTCAAAGTTTAAGCACTATTATCTTTTTGACTTTAACAGATATATTCTGATATTTATTTTCCTATACGACCTTTCCTTCTCGATGAAAATTGCGAAATACTGAGAAGTATCCGAAAATCGGAAAAATCTGTACTTCAGATGTTTTGCTGGTTGTTTTTTCTAGTTAAATTTTGGAGCTTTGAAACAGA